TTACACAATTTAAAAATAAATATATAACATAAAATAAGAATAAACCATAAGATAAAACCCAAATCTCTAACATTAAAGGCTGAACTAACTTTGTATAAACATCAAGAAGCTACAGCCCAAGGTTACTTTTTCTTTCTTTTTGGTTGAGGAGTCAATGTTCTGTTTGTTTTGAGTGTGAGAAAGCCAGGGTGAGTTAGACATGGCAACAGATGGCTTGATAACACACAGGCTCTGGGTAAATATGCTAAGTATGCCACAAAAATATCTGGTTAAATATGCTACCTCTGGCACTCTGCCATGATATTTTGCACATGCTCTGGTTTGAATGCCTATATGTGCTGCGTGAGGTCAGTGAGTCAGTCACTTTCTGACATGTGTCTCTTGATTGCCACACACGCGCACACACACACTTCATCTATAAGCAGGACACATTGGGTTGTTACGCCTCAAAGCATTCTTTATGATGATAAGACCTTCTCGCAGTCATAGTTATGAAAGTAATGATGTCCTGTGCCAAATTTTGGACATTCTGGATATGTCATTATGTGTTCTGATAAAACTGCTTTGTGTTTTACTTTATAATTACAGATGATGTGGTGGCAGCAGCAGTGGTTAGCACTGTCATCTCACAACTCACAACTGGGTTAGGAGGCATTTCTTTATGGAGTTTGCATGTTCTTCTCGTGTTCGCTTGGGTTTCGTCCAGAAGCTCCGTTTTCCCCTACTGAACTGGATAAACTAAATTGGCCATAATGTATTACCGTGTGTGCAAATGAGAGAGTTTATGAGTGTTTCCCAATGTTGGATTGTGGCTGGAAGGACATCCGAACCATAAAACATATGCCAGAGTAATTAGCGGTTCATACCACTGTGACAACCCTTGATAAATCCGGGTCGCAGAGGCAGCAGTCTCAGTGGCAGCAGGGAGCTCCAGATTTCTCTCTCCCCAGACCTTTCCTCATGCTCCTGCACCAAGGGTTTCCCGGGCAACCAGAGATTCATAGTCTTTCCAATATGTCCTATGGCTCTCCGAAGTGGGACAAGCTTGAAACATCTCCCTAGTTATGCATCCAGCAGACATTCGAAACAGATGCCCAAGCCAACTGCTTCTCTCACCAGGTGACAGAGCTCCTCACCCTATCTCTGAGAGTGCCCCCTTTGAATGAAGCTTGTTCTGAGATCTTGTACTTTCGGTCATGACCCAAACCTCATGACAATAGGTTAGAGTATGAATGCAGATTGAACTCAATCATTAATTGAACTCAGCTCCTTCTTCACCACAACAGACTGGTACATTGACTGCATTGCTGCCAATGCACTGATCCCCTGCATATCAGTCTCGCATTCAATCATTCCTTCACTTGTGAAGAAAACCCCAGGGTCCATGAGCTGCTCCACCTGGGGCAAGGACTCTCCTCCAACCTGGAGATGACAGGCCACCATTTTACAGGACTTGGATTTGGAGGTGTTGATTCTCATCCCCTCCATGTCACACATGTCACACTGAAGGTCCAGGTTCAATGTAGCCAACAGGACAACATCATCTGCAAATTTTGTAGTTGCCGGCCTTTTCAATAATCAATGACGGGATGAGAGGTTTTGAATACCAAAAATAGACTTTATTAAACAAATTAAAGCAGAGAAAGTGCAGAGCTTCAGGACAAATCCTGAATTGTCTAAGTTCTTCACAATCTTTATACAGATTCTCTGCCACACCTCTAGGTGTTCTCATTTTAACTTCTGACCTTCCTTGGATACATTTTTACTTTCAAGTATATGTTTAGGTGGTCGTGTTATTCTCGGCTCTCAGCCCTGCTTGTTCAGGTCTACATAAGCAACTGTTTTCACACCAGAGATGTCACTTCATAGATACAACTTCTAAGTGTTTACATACATTGTCATGATGGTACATTAACCCGATAATATGTTACTCACTCTCCTGAATGCCTTTCACAGATATAGTTTCTTATGAGCATTTAACATATATAATCAGTGCTTTACATATTCAGTTAGTCTACATAATCAGTCATTCTTCAGCATAGCCTTCTCATAGTGTTGCTTACTCATCTTACACAACCCCAGTTTTAGCCTGGGTCATGTTTACTGCACACACTCTTAGATAATAGTTTTAGAGAATACTTTTAGAGAATAAAACATCTTCTTCACAAACAGCTGAGATTTTTAACACTTGACAAATCATTCAAATTGTCCAAAAAAATAATGATATTTTCAGAACCGGTCACATAAGACAGGGATTCTCAACATGGTGGGCTTCAGTGATCCTACAGGTGGGCCGCGAGATAGCTCAAAATTAACTTACATTTTTATACTATAATAATTGTTTTATTTTATTAATGTCATATTAAAATGGTAGTAGTAATGGCATTTCCTGTTTTTTGTGATTGTACAGGCTCATTCGGACTTACTTTTAATTACAGACGTAACTATGGATTAAATTTCCAACCACTGCACGTCAACTGGGACCATATTCTCAGATGTGTAAAACAAACAGTCACACAAATGTAAAGCTAACAATGATTATAATAACCAGCCTGCATGTGCCTCATGTCTGCGACTCGTCCTGAAGTAAAGAATTCAGGTACTTTGAACATGTCTGTGCGCTTTTCAAAATTTTTTATTATATTATATATATTATATATTATTATTACATATTATATTTTCTATAATAAATTTCATAACAGGCGAGGGTCAAAACACGGGAAAACAAGACAAGGAAAATGCATTGTATTGTCACTTACGCAAACAAGACTCGCCCATGGGAGTGGGTGTGTGTTGCTTAGTGTGTGTAATCAGTCTTTGACAATCCTTCGGTGGCGCGTGTGTAATCAGTCAGAATGAGGAAGCATGTGTTTGTGAGCGGAGTGCATGTATGAAAATGTAGTGCAACAGTGTCGGATTTGTAGTCCATTAGTGGTTGTGCGTGCAAACCAGCGATCTAGGGAGTTACGATCGCTGGTGAACGTGACAGTATGTGTGTGTAGAAAATATATATGTCGTAAAATAAGGGAATAATAGAAGGCAAAATAAATGTTTTGCTAATAAATAAAGCTTTAAAATAAGCATTTTCTCTAGATAGTTTGGGTTTTCAAAACATTTTTCGGAGAAAAAGATGGGTCTCGAAGTGAAAAAGGTTGAGAACCCCTGACAGGGCATATCCAACATGGACAGAAAACAACTCTGACTTATTAGCGGCTACGCAAACCAAGACTCAAACCAAATCTCACTCAGTCACTAATCATTCACCAAAGCAGAATGAACCACCAATTACTCTCTCATACATTTTTTTGTGGCTGGTGCCCTTCCAGCCACAATCCAGCAATGGGAAACACCCATACACACTCTCATTTACACATACACTACGGGCAATTTTATTAATTAATGGGGTAAATGCAGACAGACTTTCAATTTCAGTCCACCAGCCTCAGGGTGTTTCGTCTCTTTTCACACTTTAACAACGAAATAGATGATTACGTATATTTAACTTATTATATTTAAATAACATTATGAAATCGATGCTGTAAAATAAACATTATGAAATTCGAAATGGTCACGTAAAGCTTTTACTGGAAGTTCATCACTGGCTGAAAATAACTAGCTGTGCATAGCCCATTATTACTCAAGCATCTGCAGGAAACTAATGCAAACAAAAGGAGAACATCCACACAGAAATGTCCAGCCGGGAATCGAACCAGCATCCTTCTTGCTATGAAATGAAAGTGCTAACCACTGAGCCAGCATGCTGCCCTAAACCAAGTTCCAAGATCGATCAAACAGAGACCAGACAAGCCTTAACAGATCACCACACACAGAATACCAAGACGGGCACAGACAAATGCTTTCTCCAAGTCCACAAAGCACATGTGGACTGGACAGGTGCCCATAAAGTCTTAATAATGATATTATTCTTGTTCAAAATTTTATGCTTTAATGTTGTTGATGTCAAATTCTGACCCTACCATCTAAATGTCACAGCAGAAATTGAGACTTATCAGACTAGTCAATGTTCTTCCAATCTTTTGTTGTTTCATTTTGGTGAGCCTGTGCAAGCTGTAGCCTCAGTTTCCTGTTCTTAGCTAATAGAAGTGGCACACGGTGTGGTCTTCTGCTGCTGTAGCCCATCCACCTCAAGGCTCAATGTGTTTTGTGTTCAGAGATGCTCTTCTGCATACCTTGATTGTAACGAGTGGTTATTTGAGTTACTGTTGCCTTTCTATCAGCTTGAACCAGTCTGGCCGTTCTCCTCTGACCTCTGGCATCAACAAAGTATTTGCACCCACAGAACTGCCGCTCACGGGATATTTTCTGTTTTTCAGACCATTCTCTGTAAACTATAGAGATGGCTGTGTGTGAAAATTCCAGAAAATCAACAGTTTCTGAAATACAAACAACCATGCCACATTCAAAGTCACTTAAATCACCTTTCCTCCCAATTCTGATGCTCAGTTTCAACTGCAGCAGATTGTCTTGACCATGTCTATGACAGATTGTCTTGACCATGAGTTGCTGCCATGTGATTGGCTGATTAAAAATTTGCGGGTGTACCTAATAAAGTGGTTAGTGTAGTCTTGGTTTAGAACTGTCAGACTTAACTTGAAATAGTCAACCCTGTGTTATTCTTAACCACCATCAAATTTTCTTTATGTTTCACAACAAAAATCCTGGGTATAATCTTTAAACTAATTCGGGTTTATAGGCTGACTTTTAATACAGTTCATTTCAAAGCCCCGGATTAACTTCAGTGTTTGCAGTTTCAGAATCATACATTGGACAAACATTGCACAAAACCTGTATACATAAAGGCTCTAGCCATTGCAATCCCTTAAGTTTTTTATATTATCAGTTTTTATCAAGGTTTTTTCCTTGACTGGTCCTCTTCTTCACTTCAACTTTTACAACTGCATTATTTGACTGTCCACAGCATTGTTCAGACCAACAGTAAAGTGGGGTAAAGGGCAGTGTGAAAAGCCACGTGTTTAATATCTGTTACACATTAAATGCAATAAAACAAAGTCAATTATAAAATAGCTTCAAAAAGCATTTTTTAACTTGATTTAGATTATTATTTATTAATGCTATGATGGAGTTGGGTTGGATTTTGATGATTATGGATAAGGGGACAGTTCACCCACTCAAAAAAAAAGACATATTCTCACACTCAAGTTGTTCTAAACTTTTATAAACATCCTCCTTCTGTTGAACGAAAAATATTTTGAAGAATGATGGGAAAAAACAGCCATCGTAGAAACAAAAATTAAATACTATAGAAGTAAATGGCTGATTCTTTCCCAGAATTCTTTAATAAACAGTATATCTTCCTTGTTCTCCCTTGGTCTTCTCTGTCCTGTCTTGTTTGCACTAAATATACAGTGCAAACCGCACTTTTTTATTTTAGTTTGTCTCATTCTATTTTGTTCCTTAAATTTTAATAGTGATGCACAGTCCTGTGTTACGTTGTCAATTTATGTTGTTTGAATTAGCATCTTGGTCCTGGAAGAACATTGTTTTGCTTCACTGTGTATTACGCTGTATATTGTTAAAATGACAATAAAGCCAACCTGACTAGACTTGATCTTACTATACTTTGTTTACAGTCACTTGAGTAACAAAATGTTAAAATAATAATAATAATAAATAAATAATAATAATTTTGCCACATCAATATGGCATATGGCTGATGTGTTGTAGGGGTGGGTTGTCCAGAAATGCCTTGCAATAAGGCATGGGTACAAAAGCTTCATTGTGGGTTGTTCGGAAGTCATGATTGCTGTTCCGGGGCCTGATATGGCTTTCTTTAACCTAGAAATAGATTACCACAAGATCAGCTCTCAAATTTGTACAAGCTCAGTTAGTGATTCATTTAACTGATCACTGAAATCTTTTTTTTTTTTTACTGTTCACACTAGGAAAACCAGCCCTGGCTCCCAGTAAATGCTCATTGCTCAGTCTACATTTTTGAAAATCCATTGCTCCAGGTACATTTCAATGCACATTTCAGTTGACAAATCCACTAGAGTGTGCTGTCTACGTTTTTGCAGATCTGAAAAACATTACTTAGGGTGCAGATACACACTTTTTTTTGTATACATCCATGAAAAGGCAAGGATTATCGTATAATTCCCACCCTTCCCTAAACATAAAAGTGCTTATAGTTTTATCTTGATTTTACCTTGCTCTTATCTCTTTTGTCGAGCTGTGCTTCAAACCCAATTGCTCTGCACCACAAGTACAACAACGTACAAGGTGATCTACTGAGCACACTGACCACTCTAGAAAAGTTGTCCACATGGAGATAAAAAAGTGAGGCATATGTACTCGATTACAAATTATGAAGATCTTAAAAGTGTTTTTTTTTTTTTTTTTGCAGTTTTTGCAGTTTTTGTATGGTGTTTTGTGAAAAACTGCATGAATATAATCATTTAATCAGAGATAATATGCCCTTGTAAATATCATTAGTGTGAAAAGGAAGAAAAGTTGTTGGTTTCATACTGCACTGGAGCATTCATTTTACCAAGAAACAACATTCAAATGTATATTGAAGCACATATTTGTATGGCATGTATTTCTAAATGAGCTTTTGTTCAGAAAACAGAACATCAGTGTTTGGTAGCATCAGGAATATTGACTTTTTTTTAAAAACAAAATTGTTATAATTTTAATAGAAACCTCTTGTCCTCCAATTGAATTCTTGGAGCTCAAGACATGGACTTTCATGGAGTGGACAATAAAGAGTTTCCATGGACTGTATAATAAATAGTTTATCTGCAGAGAAATGTAAATATTTTACCTGCTGAAGCTGGCCAGGGCTCAGCTCCTGTCTTCTAGAGTTTAGCGGGATAAAATCATTTTGCATGGTTGTAAGCAGCTGATCAGGCTCTAAAAACAAGAATAATAAAGAAATAAAGAAATATTTGATATAAACAAATATTGTATTGAAGAGACCCTTAAGAATTCCAGTCAGCTATCAATTTAGATGTAAATCAGAATCAAATTAAATCAGGTCATACTCTCATTTTGAATAGATTCAAATCTTGATTTGATTTTGAAAATTAAAGTTTAACACAATAATTTGGATTTTTTTTATTTCTCTGAATTATTCATTGATTTCTTTTTACTTTTTCTGTAAATTAAAACTACCAAACCACTCTTTCCTCTAGTTTAATACAAATTTAAATCTGTCATTTAAAGCTGTTTAAGATAAAAGTACTAATATTTTTTTTTAGACAGCTCAATATCACTCTTTCAAAAGAAGTAAAGAAATTAATATTTGGTGGAATAACACTTATTTTCAATCATTACAAATTTGTTATATTAAATTAAAATTTATTTTATCGAGATTTCGAAAACAAAATGCCAGTTTTTTACTTTTCTCTTTTACTAATTTCAATATTTTATTTTTAATTTTAATATTTTACTATATTTTGCGAGATACCAGTATTCAGCTGAATGTACATATGTTGTATATATTATCTCCCTATATATTTAGGGAGATAATATATTGATCTTAGCTCAGTTTATTCCACTTTTTTACAGGCCAAAACAAACAGAAATACACTACTGGTCAAAAGTTTGGGGTCAGTTTTTTCATGTTTTTTTTTTTTTTTTTAAGAAAACTATTCTGGTGCATCTTCTGGTGCATTCTGGTACTCATCAAGGTGCATTTATTAAATGTTAAATATTTATTAAAAATATCAGATGAATTAAAAAATATATATATTAGAGTGATTTCTGAAGAATCATGTGTGTGAAGACTAATGAAGCTGAAAATTCATCTTTAAAATCACTAGAATGAATTATTAAATTAAATTACAAACTACTTTTGAACAGTTATTTTATAGTGCAATAACATTTCACAATTTTACAATTTGTACTGTATTCCTGATAAACAAATGCAGCCTTGGAGAAAAGGAGAAGCTTATTTTAAAACATTTAAAAATCCTACTGACCCCAAACTTTTGACCGGTAGTGTACATTTAACACATTTAGAGTTTTATAATGAATAAATCAATCAGACAATAAATAAAACCTTAATATGGCATGACACATATACATTTTACAGTTTGTAATGTAAAGTAATGAGAGCACAGCTCGGGTTATTTTACATGGTCAATCATTGTAAAAACAGGTTAGTAGGCTCAAAATACCTTGCTCAAACAACACATGACTAGGTGGATATACTGGTGTTTTGGGACGAACCACTTCTTTATGTGAGAACTGCTCCTGTGTTGTTGTGCTGTAGAAACATCCAGCCATATTAGGCTTCCCGAATTCTACGTTACTCAGAGTCCTGATACTGGATCCATCCACATGCACTGGGAACTGCGTGCTTTTCATCTAATAAAGCAATTTTGTATTATTTAGTAAGTATAGTCTGCAAACAAGTCAAACCTTTGGGAAAAACTGCTGGTTTGTTGTTGACAGTCTCTCTGGGTTAGCATTAAGAAGCTCTCCCTTAAACACAGAGCTGAGAGTTGGGCTTCTGTGCTCTAGGTGAATAGGGCCTGTTAGAAACAAATAATAAGCTATAAAATTTAAATACTTCATCAATATATCACAATGATCTGATTGTGCATGATGAATGCACACTAGAAGTTGGAGGCAGGTTTTTGTTGGAGTATTTTAAAAATATTTAAGTAATGAAATGGCACCATCTGCTGGCTCATGCTCTGCTTTTACACAGTACAAAACTATTAGTTACTTTTACTTTAAAGAGCCCATATTATGGGTTTTTGAAAATTACCCTCCATGTAGTGAGTAACACAGCTCTAAGTGAAGTGAAGTATCCAGCTAAGGCTTAAATCTGTAAGAGTACAGTGTTTAAAACGATTGATTCATCTAAAAAGAGTCGACTCATAGTGCTTCAAACGAGTCGCCTTGATACCGAGTCATTAGGTGTTTCGCCATGACGTACGAACGAAACCAAGTTATTCAAGTGCACGCGCAAACCCGGGAGATTTGAAACATGCGGCCCCGTCGTCTGACATAGAAACCCAGACACACACACAAACACGCCGGTCGATTGAAGTCACACTGCAGATGGATATTATCGAGTCTCTACCCAAAGATGAATCCTCAGCATTATAACCAAGCAGTTGAAAACTACTGGAAACTTCTGCAAACTACATGCTACAAAGAATACTTCATCAGCGTTTGTTAAAGGAAGGATCAGTAAAGAGTAACTTACTGCTGGACGTCAGGATGGGTTTCTTCCTCCATTTCTCAAGTGTAAGTACATGCGATTAAAGTTGTTGCCTCGTTGACTCTAGCTTGTAAATGTATTTAGTTGTGATTTGTTACTTGTAACCGCGTGTACTGTATCAGGTTAACTGGCTATATTCTCTTATCGCGTGCAAAGTCACGTTAAAAACGTGACGCGTGCTGCTTTGTTTATGGAGCTCCGTGGACGAGGGTAGTGTGTGCATGCGTGCGTGCGTGTGTGTGTGCGTGCGTGCGCTTTCGTCCGGAGGTATGTGTGTGTGTTTGTGTGCGCGCGCAAGGACGAGGGCAATATGTGTGTTTGTGTGTGTGTCTGTGAAAAGAGCAGAGTGAGACAAGCTAGGAGATCTCCACGACAGTTTTTGGAGTTTTTGCTTAATAAAATAGTTAGTCGTCTGTATTTTCAAGTCCATCGACTATATTTACATTGACCCACTGGCAGCTAAAATCCACGCCTACACTATCGAGCGTGTATGAACTGTGATTACTTTTATATTGCTGATTAGCTGTTTGGCATTTCACTCTCTGACTGAAGGCATGTCGACCAATCGCAACAGACTGTCATTGGTCCAATCAGCGCAGATTAGCTTCGCGCTAAGGAGGGGTTTGGGAACAAATGAATCACTGGACGATTCATACAGGAGTCGCTGGAATATTTAGGTAAAAATAAATGCAGATTATAAGACCATGAAAGTGTTTTTTGACCTTGCATTCATATTAGACTGTTGTTGGAGACCCTTACAACCAAGACATGACCCTATTTCATGTATAATATGGGCTCTTTAAAAATGAGTAAATTAGTAACTTGAACTGTTAAGTTGACTTAATTCTTGTAATTATACAAATAGTTCATTTGCATAATAATGTTATGGTCAGTGCAGTGGTGGAAAGAGTACAGAAAAATCATACTCAAGTAAAAGTACCATTACTTGCATAAAATTGTTGTGCAAGTAGAGTAAAAGTATCTGTTGTAAGTATCACTCAAAGTATGTGCTGTAAAAGGCTAATGCCTTTACATGTAATTTGTGGATGTGTGTAAACGTAACATTCTGTAGTGTATTTAGTTATTGCTCAGCAGCCACACAACATCATAAGACATTAAAATTAGGTTAGATTTAGGTCATGACGTCAGGTGACAAAAATTAAATGTCCAGCCAGCGTCTAAGAACATTATTTTGATGTCCAATAATGATGTTAAATTACGTTGATATTTGGTTGATTTTAGGTTGTGTTAGAAAGTGACCAAAATTCAATGTTGAGCCAACATCTTAAACATTTACTTGTCAGGTATGACAACCAAAATCCAACATTTGATAGACGTCATAGTGGTAACATCCACACAAGGTCAAGCTGTAACATCATTAGATGGTAACATTTGGTTGATTTTAGGTTGAACATTGACATAGGCCTGACATTGGGTTCTAGTGTCAACCCAATTTTTATTTCAGAACAAAATGCAACGTTGGTGTCAACTTCAACCTGATGTCATGTTGACGTCCTGTGCCTGCTGGGTGTTTAAGGCCATTTCGGTCATCATTTATCCGTCATCTTGTCATCAGTGTTATGCATCCAAACAGTAAATGTGTGTAAAGATTTTGGACATCATCTTGGACACTTTTAATGCTTCCAAACAGTTTGTCTTGAAGTAGTTCATGATGCAATTTATCTTCTATGTGTGATTTGATTGGACAGGAATCACAGGACTGATTTTTCTAATTCCCATAGACAAGATAAATAAAGTAGTGACTGCAGGTTGAAGGAAAGTAGTGGAGTAAAAGTACTGATACAGCACTAAAAATGTACTCAAGGGAAAGTAAAAGCACACATTTTTAAAACTTCTTAGTAAATTACAGTTCCTGATGAAAACTACTCAATTACAGTAGTTTATTTCTAATTTGTTACTTTACACTACTGAGTATGGAATACACTGTAAAACCTAACAGTCAAAATCACTAAATGAAATAAATAAGTTTAGCTTATAATTTTTTAAAAGGTTACTTTGACTTAATGAAAAATAGTTATCGTAACTCACAAAGGAATTATATTAAGCAGAAGCCAAAACTAATGAGTTATGAATGAATTAATAACATTTTTAATACTAGAAGCAATTCCAAACCATTTGAGTAACTATATAGTTGTTTGAACTTAATTTGTTGAACTCAAAGCAAGTTGATAACTGAACTTAAATTAAGTTACTAATACTCTAAAAGTTTGACAGTACAAGCTACAATCAGTAGCTACAATCATATAATTAAATAATTAAAATATGTGTATATGACTCTGTGTATAGTCATATAGTTTACAGTACTCACACCATTTTTTTTCAAAACTTAAATGGTTTGTCGCAATCGGTTTCCACAAACTGTTTGAGTTAACTTATCGAGTTTTACAGCGTATCTCGTATTCTCTTTATTTGACTAAAGTCAACAAATCGTTCTAAAAACAGCATGTTTACTGTTTTACCTTGTTGATTCCAGAGGTCAGAAGAGAATGGTCAGACTAGTTCGAGTTGATAAAAAGGCAACAGTAACTATAAACCACTCGTTACAACTGAGGTATGCAAAAGAGCATTTCTGAACGCACAACACGTCCAACCTTGAGGCTACAGCAGCAGAAGACCTCACCAGGTGCCATTCCTGTTAAACAGTACTTGAGAAATATAATTTAATTTTAACAGGACTAATAATTCTGTCTTCGACTGTGTATTACTTTATAATCTTTAACTTGTTTGTAGCTTAAAGCCTGCATCAGGACAAAGTTACATTCTGATATTTTTTCCAATTTCTGTGACATAACAAAAAAATACATGGCATGAGATGATACTTGATTATACAAACCAAATGTATGTGTGCAGAATTGGTCAGATGATGTCGTGGTCCATTTATCATCAGGAAGTTCCCGAAGATTGATGTGCAGAGATGTATTGTTGTTGCTGAATTTAGCAGAGCTGCCGAGCAAAAGAGTTTAAGTTAGATTTACCTCATTTACATAAGGTAAACAGTTGAAGTCAGAATTATTAGCCCGCCTTTTAATTTTTTTCTTTTTTAAATATTTCCCAAATGATGTTTAACAGAGCAAGGACTTTTTCACAGTATGTCCTATAATACTTTTTTTCTGGAGAAAGTCTTATTTATTTTATTTCGCCTAGATTAAAAACAGTTGTTAATTTTTTAAACAACATTTCAAGGTCAAAATTATTAGCCTCTTTAAGCTATATATTTTTTCAAATGTCTGCAGATCAAACCATCGATATACATTATCTTGCCTAATAACCCTAAGCTGCCTACTTAACCTAATTAACCTAGTTAAGCCTTTAAATGTCACTTTAAGCTGTATAGAAGTGACTTCAAAATATGTATAGTCACAAAATAATTACTGTCATCATGGCAAAGACAAAACAAATCAGAAATTAGTTATTAAACTATTATGTTTAGAAATGTGTTGAAAAAAAAATCTTCTCTCCGTTAAACTGAAAATGGGGGAAAAAATAAACAGAGGGGGGCTAATAATTCTGACTTCAACTGTACATAAAGACAGAGCTTTCTTCTTATGTCTTATACAATCTTTTAACCAATTACAAATGTGCATCTTCAGTGTTTATGCTGCATACAGAATTACAATATTATCACCTGTTGTCATCTGATGGTCTAAAATAGGTGGAATAAGTTGTTTGATTGTTCAGTATCTTGTCTCGGTCTCCCATTGCAACAGATGAATACTGAATTCGTTGCTAAATAAAAGATGCAATGAAATAAAAAGCAAACATGTCATTGAATTGGCACTCTGAAAGCGCTGCAATTGATATTGAAATACCTTCTCTATGGATTGAAGAGGAGGATTTGAAGGACACTGTCTGTACCGGAACTGCTCATGGTAACTGGAGCTACAGTTCTTGTCCATTTTGTCCTGTCTTAAAGTCGAGCCGACGCCTTATTGTTACAAAGAAATCATCTTATATCAATCTTATATAACATATCAAATATAGAATATAAAAATAAAACTGAAAAAGTAATTCAGGTTTTCAGTCATTTCTGGGAAAATTTTCCTTCATAACTATTCATAAGTAACAGATTATTCAAATATATTAATCCTCTTTTCATACAAGATGCAAATATTGGTGCATTAATTGATAAACAATTGATATTCATTTAAATTCAAGTTTGGAAAGGTTATGATTACATCCACTTGGTGGCGCTGTAAAAAAAAAAAAAAAAAAAAATATATATATATACATATATATATATATATATATATATATATATATATATATATATATATATATATACACATATATATATATACACATATATATATATATACATATACATATACAAATATATATACACATATATATATATATATACAAATATATATATATATATATATATATATATATATATATATATATATATATATATATACACACATATATATATATATATATATTTGTATATTTGTAACGTAGTATACACACACACACACACACACAGAGAGAGAGAGAGAGAGAGAGAGAGAGAGAGAGAGAGAGAGAGAGAGAGAGAGAGAGAGAGAGAGAGAGAGAGAGAGAGAGAGAGAGAGAATGCACATTTTAGTTCAAATTCATTGTCTTGAAATAGCATAGTTGACTACACCTAAATGGTCTTTAGTTTAAAAATAAATAATTTATTGTGAAAATAGAGCGCTTTTAATTCAGTATTTAGCAAATTTCTATAACAATTTGTATATTCTTTTAATTTATTACTATTATACTTAATATTTTTAATGTTTAAAAGTAGGGTTTCAAGTGTATTGTAACTTTTTTTTAACCTAATACTATTTTTAGCACATTAAACATTTGTTTGAGAAAATAGAGCACTTTTAGTACAGTACTAAAAAGTATACTCAGTGTACTTAAAGTCAATTTTAGCACATTTTTTTTCCACATTTTGAATTTTTTTTAAATATAATATTACTATTAAACTTTAAACTATTCTGAAATGCATTTATAAATGCTTAAAATTATAGATTAAGTTTATTTCTAGTTGTAACTGAATGTATTAAAAAAATACAGATATAGTATGTTAAAAGCACATTTTAGTTCAATTTTATGGTGTCTCAAAATAGCACAGTTGAGTTTACTTAAATGGTCTTAAGTTTATCTTAACATATACTTAGTACACTTTTCGGTAAGGTACTAAAAATAAGTATTAAGTAAGTAAGTAAGTATTAAGTAAGTGTTAAAAATAGTATTAAGTATACTTAATGTGTATTATAGTGCTAGGGCGTAGAGGGTGCACTTGTTACTGTGTTTGAGGGTAAGGGTTTGTTCACCCAAAAATATTATTAATTATTCACCCTCAAAACCACAGAGATTATCGTTTATCTTTGGAACAATATATTGTCAATGAAATCTAAAAACTTTAGTATCCTGAAGGTGGTATCGTGTATCAGGATGGTAATGCAGAAATGCAGGCAGCAAGCCTGGTGACAAAGTGGTTTCATAAACAATGAAGTCATCTTCCATGTCCTGCACAGTCACCAGAACTACATATTATTGAGCCACTTTGGGATGAGAGTCAGGAAATGCCACCAGCATCACATAATAACCTGGCCATTATTCTGCAAAAAGAATAGTTCACAATTTATCTGGCCAATGTTCAGGACTTATCTGTAGTATCTGTCATTACCAAGACCAATTGATGGTGTATTGTCTGCAAAAGAAGGCCCTACTACAACATATGAATTATTATGGTCTAAAACCAGGCATTTCAGTTTCATGGTTCAAACCTTGTACCTTTTCTTCGTTTCAGTGATGTTCGGTGAGGTTTGTGGATGGCAAGGCACGACTCTTTCAGGGTATTTAAATATATTTGACAACTAGCATTCTTTTTATACACATGGCAGGTACACATTGGGCCAATTGAAGAATATAAAATGTAAAGCGATTTAATATGCCTCCCAAAAAACAGAAGGTGGACGCTAGACAGCCTATACAGTGTGTGTTTGGAGAAATTGAATGTGTTAAGAGTTTAGACATCTAACCTGTCTGTGTCGTTTCCTTCGCTTTGAGGATTGGTGACACCTCATGTTTAGTATAGCAGGAACTGTACATCGTCTTTGGACTTTTAACTTCCAGCAAATTTATCCAGCCTGTGGTGGTGGGTCGACATAGTTGGGCTGCGGACATGGGCATGGGCTTAAAATCTGCGTGAGTGGTCTCGAAGTTTCCACACATGTCTCCAGAAGGCATTTTAAAGTTGGTGCACTGCATCGTCAGGTGGGTTAACTTTGGCTTAATGAGAGATACAGGTGGATGGGAAGGAAAGGACAGCGCTGTCTCTGTCTGGAGCTTTTCCAGATTTTTCGACTCTCCATACTGGAAATGTGGTGAAACAGGACGATATACAGTAATTCTGTTCACCATGGCTGTGTTGTCAATTAATTTAAAGTGGCCTTTGTTCATTGTCCCATACATGTCTTTTGATCCGTCCAAAAATGGTACATTTGATATCCTAGATTGAAGCATCTTCATATCTTCACGAAAAAAGTTCTTAATACAAAACGAATCAATACAAACTACAAATACGCATCTATAAAATATATAGAAAGGTTTAAAGCAGTTTGCAGTTCTGTGCCAGTTGCTCTTAACAAATCCTGTTCAAATACAATATACTTATAGTATAGTTTACACTAGCTGTGAACTTTAATAGATGAAATAAATGTTACCTTGTTTTCCTGATGTGTCCAGGTGGAAACACAAAGCCGAAGGGGGCACCAATGACTTATCAGTTTGTTGTGGAGACATTAAATATTAAGTGTTCTCCAAGACAACCATTATAACGGGTTCTGAGTTGCAGTCAAGCCATTTGTAACCAAAGTGCTTTATTTTAGGAAGTGACAACTTTTATGGTGAACTACTGAATTACGTTTTGCTTGTTTGTTTTTATATTAATTCAAAAGCAATCATGCTTTTTTTATATATAGATGAGGTGAACTTTCACTCTACATTAGATGGCAGTATTGGGTCAACTGAAGTTGAAACGGTAGCAGTTGTCCCAAAATTAGCATTTAAAAAATAAGCACACATCTTTGAGATAAAAAAAATGCATAAGTATATTAGGTATCCAAAACTGTCAACAGTTTTGTACTAGACAAATATCCTTTATAACCAGACATTTTTTAACTATGGAAATTTTTCCAGCGCCAAGGAAATGTTTTATAAGATATAATAATGCATCAATATTAAGCCTATTTACTTTATTTTTTCAATTTACTCAAATGTTAAATTTAAACCCCTGATTAATAAAGGGACTAAGCCGAAAAGAAAATGAATGAATAAACCTAAAATAAATTATTATTATGATTTTTATTATTATTATTATTATTATTATTATTATTATTATTATTAAGAGTACTGGCTTACATCATATCAGCTTCACTAAAAATATTAGCATATCTATTTTTCACATTCAATTCAATTCATATTTATTTCTATAGCGCTTTTACAATGTAGATTGTCAAAGCAGCTTAACATAGAAGTTCTAGTTACTTAAAAACTGTGTCAGTTCCGTTTTCAGATGTTACTGAATGTCATTCATAAATCTACAGTAAAACAACATTTCTGGTTATATATTACATTCAAAAAACATCTCTGGATCCGATTTAATTAAAAACCACAGCATCACAATTCCAAAATGCGCCTTAATTATTCTAATTGAACATTACAACGAAACACAGCTAATGCAACCAGAGCAGCACTTTATTTCTACATTAATTTGTACTCCATGACATGCAGTTTAACCAAATAAATAAATTAAAAACTATTTTATATAGGCATCAATATTCATTAAGAGTCATAATGGATATTTTGGGGGCTTTGGGATTGGGAGACAAAAAAGGGGTGAAATTAAAGAACAGGTAAACATGAAGCAAATACTTTTATTGGGAATTCATATAAAAACCACAAACAGCAGGCACACAATAGAAAAATAGCAAATGTGCAACTGTCTTTGAGGTTATACAGATGTCCAAGCAAGGTAAACTCAACAGTTAACAGGCTAAAAACACATTTTCAGAAACAAGAAGAAAAAATACTTAGTATAAAGATGCATGCTGAGGTATTGCAAATTATAGTGGTTTATAAAAAGGCGAAAGTGTTTTTCCTAAAGGGTCATTGCTGTTAGAAGTGCCATTTTGAACTAATGGAATCTGACAGTGAAAGCTAAATTGAATGAAAAGGGGAAGTTAAGGTAACGATTCCCTCGTTAGCAGTTGTTACTAAGAGAAATATCATGTTTTTTTGTTAGTGCCGTGTGCTTAGATTTCCTCCTTTCTCTAGTTGTCAATTACAGAGTCCTACATTAAGCTAATTTATGAGGCATGTAAGAGCAACGAAGTTCAACAAGCCATTAAATCACTTAAACGTCCTAACAGAGCCATGCTGGTGTTCGTAAAGAGATTTTTTTTTTATTATTTCTTCTGTTCTAATCATGTTTCTAACAATAACACTTGTTAATACATTGAATAGGAGCTTATATTCGCAGAACATTTTTCAAACTCTTACAGAAAAAAACATATTACTTCACATTAAAATGATAGTTCACCCAAAAAGAAATGAAGATTTATTATGTAGAAGTTTCTTTTTTCTGTTGAACACAAAAGAAGATATTTTGAAAAATGTTGGAAACTGGTAAACAATGGCATTTATACTGTAGGCAATAAAACACTATTGAAGTCAGGAGCTGCTGTTTTTTAACATTCTCCACAATATCATCCTTTGTGTTTAACAGAAGAAAGAAACTCAAATTATGAGTAAATGATGATTAAATGATGATAGACTGTTCATTTTTAGGTGATCTGTCCTTTTAAAATCACACGTGAAACACATTAAATGTGGTTTGAGAAGATTTTCATGTGAACAAAAAGTGATCGACGATTTGTTTTTTCACATGCAAATTCTGCCAAAACATTTCACGTTTGTTTCACTTGTAATTTTGACATGAAGCTAACTGTTTTTTTTTTTTTTTGCTGTTAGGGAAGTCTTATTTATTTTGCTTTAGAAAACTAGTCACAACCAAATCACAGAACTCAATAACAACTTCAGCTTTTTTCATAATCTAGTACCAAGTCTTAAAGTCACAGACTGCCCCAAATTGAAATTTGCTCTGTATTTACCGTCCCTCAAGTGGTTTTGAACCTTCATGAGTTTCTTTCCTTCTTCTAAACACAAAATAAGTTATTTTGAAGAATGTTGGAAACTGGTAACTATTGACATCCATAGGAAATAAAAACACTATTTAAGTCAATAGCTGATACTTTTCAACATTCTTCCCAATGTCTACTTTTAAGTTTATAAAGAAACTCATGTGTATATGATGATTAATTCTAAATAAATGAGTAAATGATGACAGAATGCTTATTTTTAGGTGATCTGTCCTTTTAAAAATCACATGTGAAACATATGAAATGTGGTTTGAGAACATTTTCCTGTGGACAAAAAGTAATTGATGATTTGTTTTCTCACATGCAAATTTTGCCAATGCTTTTAGCATGTTTGTTTCACTTGTTGTTTTAACATAAAGCTAACTGTGTTAATTTGTGTTAGGGAAGTCTTATAAGTTTTGCTTTAGAAAACTAGTCATAACCAAATCACAGAACTCAACAACAACTTCAGCTATTTTCATAATCTAGTACCAAGTCTTAAAGTCACAGATCACCCCAAAATTTTTATTTGCTCAGTATTTATTCACCCTGAAGTGGTTCCAAACTTTTACAAATTTCTTTCTTTCTTCTGAACACAAAAGAAGATATTTTCAAGAATGCTGAAAACCTGTAACCATTGACTTACATAGCAGAAAAAAAAATTGAAATTCAATGATTTCAGGTTTCCAGCTTTCTTATGTATTCAGCTGAAGAGATAAAGATTTGAAACAAATGACTAAATGATGACAGAAGTTTTAGTTTTGGGTGAACTATAGCTTTAAATTCTTTTAGAAATTTCAATATGATTTTCCTCATGACTAATTTAAGCAAACAGGCTCTGGTCGTCATGTGAAATTTGTTAGTTACACCCATTAATCTCGGCTCTCGGGAAGCAAATATGGAATGTGGGTGCAAATATTCTCCTAAATAGCTTGTCATGCTACTTATTCACGTCTTGAGTTTTTTTTTACCAGTCTAGTACCATGATGAATCGTTGTGCACTTGTGCAGCTGGGGAAGATTCCAGTAAAGTTTTTATCAACCTCAAAACTGCAGTTTTACCATGTAATATTTGTCCAAATGTAGTGGTCATTTGTCCAGGAGCTTGGCCAGGTTTTGTCGAAGGTCATTTAAGTCATAGATTTTGACATCTAGTGTTTCAATGGCCTTTTGCACCGCCGTTTCTGCCCTGCTCTGGGCTTCTTTAGAAGAAGCTAAGGCATTCTCCGCTGTTTCAACTTGTTTCTCCAACTCAGAGTTCTTAGCTTCCAAGTCCTAATGCCAAAACAAACAAACATTCATTCTGAGGTCAGTATACTGTAATATAATCACATTTAGGGCATTTTCACACACAAAAAACACTGTCAATTTAAAAACTGAAAGTTTTGAATGCCTTTTGGACATTTACACAACATAATTATTAGGGATGTGCGGAGCAGCCGGTATTTGTATCTGTATTTGTATTTGTTGAGGGGGGAAAAGTATTTGTATTTGTATTCGAGTAAAATTCAAAATGGCGCAAAAATATATATTTTTTCTATTACACTTCTAATTTACGTTATAGTGAAAGTATTGTTTAATTATATAAATTATAGATATGCAATATTGGTTGTTGTTTTTGAACATGTGATAAGAAATGTCATTGAAAAGAAAATAACATAGAAGCCATTATCTCATCCATGGATAAACCAACAACTAATAAAATACCATTGTGAATATTATGAACCCCACCACCACCATTCTTGTTGAAGGACACTGAATAGACAGAATAAAAACAAATAATACTTCAAAAAACTGTTCTTCTTCTGAAAGAACTTCTTTCCAATGGACAGAATTCCAAAAACTAAAATTGACTAAATAAATCTAAATAAAACCCTGCCTGGGAGATCTGGCAGAACAAAAGTATTCTATATAATACTAAAAGATACAGCCCTGCTATTATCATCTGCCTGCCACAAAACAGACACAAAGTTTGTTTGTTTGTTTGTTTGTTTTTTATGTTTGAAACTGACTTGCTGGGGCAGAATGTGGCTGTGTTGATGGTTTGGTGCTTGTGGAGGATTTAGCAGAACATAGCTGTGCTGATTGAGGGGATTGACGCTTGTGGGGGGTTCACAGACAGGAGAGGATGCTTTTAGTGCATGTGATAATACATTACATAGAAGGTTGCGCGGTGGCACAGTGAGTAGCACTGTTGCCTCACAGCAAGATGGTTGCTGTTTCGAGCTTCGTTCTCCCCATGTTGGCGTGGGTTTCCTCCGGGTGCTCCGGTTTCCCCCACAGTCCAAACACATGCAATACAGGTGAATTGGGTAAGCTAAATTGTCCCTATTGTATGTGTGAAAGAGAGTGTATGGATGTTTCCCAGTGCAGGGTAGCAGCTGGAAGGGCAGCCACTGCGTAAAACATATGCTGGATAAATTGGTGGTTCACTCCACTGTGGCAACCCCAGATTGATAAAGGGATTTAGCCGAAAAGAAATGAATGAATGGTTATGCATAGAAGATGTTGACAGGTGTTTAATATCTCTGCTTTTGCTGATTTCACTTTTGCACACATTATACAGTATTCCTTTGTTTTATCTGCAGCACCACTGACTGTAAAATGCTTCCACACAGAACCTGAAGGTTTTTTTTGTTTTGTTTTTTGACTGGTGGAGGACCAAGAAATGGCTCAGCAACAGTCTCACTCTTTTTTAGGGTGCCCAAATGTATTTGAGGAGTTTCAAGTTAATAAAAAGTGACGGGAAGCTATGCTAAGGTTAACTAGCCTATAGCATATATCTTGCTGTCTGCAAAAGACAGTAATTTAGACGTACCATATAACTCCCATAAGTGCATACTATCCGACACAACTGCACAAGCATCGTTTTAACCTTTATAAACGAACGTTAACGTTACTCTGTCAACAGTCTATTGTCTAAATTACCGCGCTAACAGAGCTAACGTTGCGTAAACAGAGCACCCGATTGCAAACTTCAAAAATGCAGCGTAATGGAATATCCCAATCAAACTCCGCTACAAGTTTATAAACTGCATCTGGAACCCAATTAAGGTACAAAAATCTATTTAACAAAAATAGTGATGCAGTGAAGTATTTTTTTCGCTCAGCCGAGCATTCTCTGTCTGTTGCTGTGGAGAAGCTTGTGCCAGACACCTTTTACCTCCGCCCCGCACTCCAACTTCTGACTGAGCGTCTCTCTCTCTCTCTCTCTCTCTCTCTCTCTCTCACTCACTCACTCACTCACTCACTCACTCGGGGATGCACTGTGGTCTCATGAGGAAACGCTGATTTTTGATATAATGTTTTTCTTGCTCCCGAATACAAATAATTTTTCAAGTATTTGTTCGTAATAAGTATTCGTAAAAACACGCTATTCGTGCCTTTCCGAATACCGTATACAGGTTCGGCTCCACCCTTAATAATTATATATAAAAGGATTAAGGCCCTTAAAGGTGCAGTATGTAAGTTTGACACCCAGTGGTTGAACTAGGTATTGCACGCTTGGGTCAAAACACATGCAAGTTCAGTTTGCCAGATTGATGACATCAACAGAACTGTGTCTGACTGTAGAGCCTAAAGGCTGATTTAAACGGTGTTCTAAATAAAAGCAACAGCACATAATAAAAGGAATCATTTCCATAATAAAGAGTTTTTGTTCTAACCAAAAGCTGAAATATTTTTGAAATGGCTTCTATTTCTTGCAGCTTAACAACAGAACACTGACAATGATCATCTAAAGTACACCTCATGTGCTTTATTCAGTGGTAAATGCTAATAATGTGAGTTTTACATGACATTTGTTGCCATACTACTGAAAGCAGCATCAGATAGTTCACCTCAGATCTTGAAAATAAAATAAAACATTTGAAATGAAATTTTAGAACTGTAACACATCAGTGATTCAGCATGATCATTTAATAATGTTAAAGAGGTTCAATATGTATTAATTACATTATAAAGCCTACCATTTCGTTGGGTGTGCAGGAGGTGCTCTATTCTGTACTTCTAAATGGCTGTATTTAAATTTCTGACATGTTTTGTCTGGTGTAAGCAGCCAAACTGTTTATCACTGCAAATCTCATCAGGTGTTGTTGTGGCACAGAGTTACAATGTAACCTGATCACCTAATGTTTTGTCGTAAGATTTATACAGTGTTCATGCACATTTTTACAAGAGCTGTGAACCTATACTGGTCTCACGGTTCAGTTCAGTTATGATTATCATGCCATCGATTCCTTTTAATTTGATATCTCGGTGCATCACATGCATTGACAGTTTTATATTTTCTTCACAGCAGAATTCTTGTATTAAAATGTATAAATATATTTATATACTATTTGTAATGCAATTTTGTCATTTAATACAAACAGTCAGATATATAAACTGTACCTTTAAACAACACAAGCATTTATAGCAATTCATATAAACAAATATAAACATCCCGCTCGCTTTCTGATCCTTGTCTACAAGGTTCTCTTACACCGCTTTGATTAATCACACCCTCAAAAAAAAAAATGTCTGCGATTGGCTCTTGCGCGCTGCGGCAGTGGCGATCACATCTGATCCATGATAGACATGGTGGAGAAACCTTTGAAGGCACGCGCTCATGTCTGTATCCAGAAGTATCGCTGTAAAACAGCCGAGAGGAGAGGAAAAGTCACACCAGCAGGTCAATTGGCCCACAGTGAGTCATGGAGAGAGAGAGAGAGAGAGAGAGAGAGAGAAGAGAGAGAAATGGAGTACTTTCATTCTCTTAATCGCAGTGAAATAGGGGCTTCTGCTATTTGTCAGTGAAAGACTGATCCAGCAAACACACACGCAGTGAAATTGTGCAGAGTTTCTGCGTTTTTAAGTAGCTTCTGCATTGTAAATACTCGCGCTCATCTCCGTCGTCATAGTAAGTTACAGCGACATATCGTATATGAGATAAATGACGTCAGTACACAAAAACCGGTTATGATTATTACTAAACCGATACAGAATTGTCCGCGTCTGCATCACGGTGCATCAAAGAAACAATTAATTTTAACACCCCTAATTTTTACTACTAAAATTCCATGACTTTTTCATGATTTTTCCAAGACTTTCAAGTAAATTTTCATGACCTGTTTCATGCAATGTCTACATATGTGTAGTAAAAGAAAAACAATGCATGTTCAAATATATTACAGCTCACCGTAAAACATGCAACAATCTATTTAGTTTTAATTTATATCAATGTAAAATTGACTTAGATAATGCTTACACTGCACTTTATATTGTGAGAGTATGTGATTGACCAAGGACAGAAAAGAAGTAAATAACCTATACATATATCTGTTTTCCATTACTTTTCCAAAACCCAGAGAAGACTCTAAACCTGATTCCAAGGTATTTACAACCCAAAAGGAATGTGCCATGCAGCATTGAACACAGCAACGGGTTAGGACTTTAAGCTGCTTGTCCAAGACTGATGTTTCATATAAACTTTACTCTCTTTGTGTAATCATGTGTTTTGCAGTTTCCCTTTCTCCTGTATATATTTTTTGGTTTTAATTTCTCTGTATACAATGTCTGACACCACCAAAGCGAAAAGAACTCATAAGCAGTTCAAGTTTGGACTTTTCGGAAAGCTCAATGGCTGTACAAATTGATCGTTGACATTTTATTTTAATATGAGTGCAACATATTAACATTTTAAGAGATTTTAACATTTTTGCATAAAATCTGCCTATGCAAATTCTTCTGCCTCAAACAAAGAGCTGTAAAATTATTATTTCAGGAAGTTAGCTTCTAATTGGTCAATTTTCCATGGAGGGTGGATCCGAACCCCCCTATAAAGTTTAGGACCAAGCTAAACTGTCTCTCTGTTCAAACTCTCTTCGCACCCGCTCTGTTCAACCTCTCTCTCCCCGTCTCTCTTTGAACCGCAACTCCTGAGCAACCCCCCTCTCTGCTCTGAACCACACTGTTTTGAACTTTCTTCAAACTACCTGCAACTTCTAGAGAAACTGAGAAACCTCCAAGAAAGCAGGCAGAAACCCAGACGGAAAGGATTAATCGCACCGCGCTCGGACATTTCACTGTTAAAAATCTTTTTGCGGCTTCAACTTCAAACACGGACTCACCGAATCAAACAGCCAAACCACTGGCTCAACAACGGGAGCTCGGACATCACGAACAGACCGCAAGTATCACCTTTCTCCCAACATCTAAACTGGTGTGAACTAAATTCAACCCTAAAGAGACAATAGAAGGGTTATTTTGAATTTGATTACGTTTGGTTTGCTTGGTTTGTGCTTACAAACTCTGAGGTTTTTCCATCATTACACCTTCTCAACCACTTACCTCACGTTAGTTACTCTTCCCTATGCTTGTATGAATGTGTGTTTGTGTTAGGTGTTATTTTCTGTTAGATTAGTCAATAAAGTTTAATTTTGTATAAAGAAAGGTGCCTGTGTATATTAATGAATCTAATGTCTTAAACTTTGATCTTGCTACCCTGCTCAACTTTATGGATTTATATTTTGATAGCATCGCTGGACGATTCGTTTGTTCGGACCTAAAGAGTCAATTCATTTGAAGCCCCGTTCAAATGAATCTTCCTCCCACTAAGCTAGTCCGCTATATAATGGTCCAGAAGGTACGCGAGCACTGAAATCTACATCATAACTTGCAACATTATAACGGCGGGAAAGACGCGGGAAGAATAACCTTGAGCTAATTTACTACAGTAATAATGGTGTAGATATGCAAGCACTTTAATCTACATTATAATTTGTCACAGATTATTAATGTGGATATGCGTGCAAGTTAATCTGCATTATTATTATAATTTGCTACATGTTTATTTGTGGAGAATAAACAAAGCATGAAATATGTATTTTTACATATAATGGTGGAGAATGCGGGCAAGTTGTAACCTAGATAATTAATTTATACAAGCCACTATTTCTTTATTACAAAGGAAATCTAATAGAGATGAGCATAAGCATATTGTGGGATGAATGGATGGATGAATGAATGAGTTGCAACCTGCGAGCCCACCTTCCAGTTGTAAACATCTGTGAACTGCTTTGTGAGGATTGTATAAAGGTTAGAATAGAGCGTGTTCTTTTTATAAAATAACTTTTTGCTACGCTGAACCACTGTGTCCCAGTGCTTTTCAGATAGCATAACAAGCCACGAGCCGATAGAGATCTCATATCAAGCTAGAACTGAGCGTGTTCCTCAGCTTCTAATTACCTTAAGTTTAAAAAGTTTCACTGCGTGTCCCAGTGTTATTTTTGATCGGCTTTGCAGTTATTAATAGCTAGAGATTGGTTGTCTCTGCGTGTTCCATCGTCAATCCAATAAGCCATCCCCCTCCCTATTTAAGCTACAGCTAAAAGCATAACTGTGTTTGCTGAACAGAGTTCAGGTAACATCGCGTATGTTTTAGCATGATTTAAACAGCATCTGTAAAGTTAAGGTGTTGTGACCAACAGTGAAAGCTGCTGCGTTTACGTCTTAGAAAAACACACACATACATACACGCACGCACGCACACACACACACAGAGGATCCGCAGAGAGCACTCGTGTGTTTTGCCTTATACTCGTGCATTACTAAACTGCTTCTCAAAGTTTAAGCCTGCTCTTGAAGGACAGAGTGTGAAATCCCACATCATAAAACCATTTATGATCGCTGGATAATGCATGATATTGCATAGAAAGGCGCCGACATTTCGTGTTTAATGTTTGAATCTGGGCTGCGTGCAAAGATTCACTTTTTCTAACATTCCCTTTGTTCTGGTTGCCTGGCGACCCGCACATAACCGGAAGTTACCATCTCTTCGAGGGAAGTCTGAACTGCGCATGCGCAGCACATGTAAACAAACTGCGCGTTACGCCAACAGTTGCATTGTTTACATTTATACAAACCTAGAAACATTAATTAATTAATTAATTAGCCTGCAAGGCTAACGATTAGCAACGGTGGTTGAATGCAGTGCCTGTTTGAGAACCTGAAAGTGATTTTAACCATTTAACATCTTTGCATTTTGTTGGTCTCTTTATTCTCTACCCCCATTTGTACTATCTTTCGTACATTGTAATTTACTAACAGTTTGCTTTAAAGCAAAACATAACCCACTGTTCTTTTATGTAATAACTAATTACACTTTTACCAAAAAGGAAATACTGGTTCACTATTATTATTAATACAAATTACAATTTGTTTAACAATAATAAAGTGAATGTTCCATTTGTGTTGTGCACAAAAATCACAATATTACATTGAATTGTAATTCTATTTGCTCACAAGCAACTTTGAATTAACATTTCACCAGAATTCCCTTTTTAGTCTAATCCCTTTAGACATTATCAAGTCTTGAGCTTCGATAGTTTAAGCAAGCATACCACTTTTTACAACTTCTCATTCACCCCCTTTACAGAAAATCTGTTTTATCCAATTCAGATTTTCTCAATATCTAATTACATTGTAGTGGTTATGCACCGATAGGAATTGCATGTTTTTGCTTCCTTGTTTTCTCCCTTCCTCCTGCACCTTTGCTAGGAAACCTCTCATTACGAGTACTGAATAAATTACAGACAACCCACTCTCATTATAATTTATTTTTACTAAGTTGAACGTCAACTATCAATTTTGTACTCGTAGCGAGAAGTTAAGGCTTCAGAGCTAGTGTGGACCAGGTCCAATTATTGTTAATAAACACCCCCTGTTCTCATTCTGCATTTGGGTCCTCCTTCCTCTAACTTCCTGACAAACTATGGCAAACTACTGGTCTTTTTTTTACTGGTGGTGCAAGGACCTTTTTGGAACTGCTTGCTTAATTTTTTATTTTATTTATTCTTTGTTGGTTACACAGGGCCACTGCCAGCTGCTGTGGGTTTTAGTCATTTTCGCATATCTGTGTGAATAGGGATCATTTTGAAAATGTAGTCGAAAAATTAGACATTTTCAGTTTTTAAATTGTTGTGCAAACATGCCCTTAGACAATAACCATGTTTCCACTGTTGCACATAAAGAGAGCGAGCCAGTGCCAGTCGCATTTCCATAGTCACTTCCGGGGCCTAATCAGGCCAAAGCCAGCCAGCTAGGGCTTCAAAATGGAGTGAAAGCAGGAGCAGAGTTTCCAAGATGGTGTGCTGCTGTCATTACACTAGTTTACCCATCACGCACGAGTGCATGTGCCAAAAAAATGAATGAATAAGGGAAAGGAAAAACATAGCTATTGGTCAGTTTAAGATATTCCATAAAATAATAAATAAAGTAGTTTTAATTTAATAAGTGATATTTCCTTGCTGAGTCCTACTTGGTTTCAATAACACATAATAATCTTTACACCATATTAAAGGCACATTCGGCAGTAACTTTCAGTTGCCGAAAGTTTTTGTCAAGTTTAAAAGGAGTGTTTGTGCATGAAACATGCGCGTTTACATGCATGTATATGTGTGTGTTATTTTTTTGCCATTTGTGGGGCATTCTGGAGGCGGGGTTTGCATGCTGCACTGCGAGTTATTGGCCTGACAGTGGAAATGCGACATGATTTCGGCCTCACTGTTTAACCTCCTGGGCGACTGGCCCAACCCGGCCCAATAAAAGCCCTGGCTCGCAGTGACCTGACAGTGGTAATGCAGCTAATGAAGTCCTAAACTGGCAAAAAAAATACTGCTGTTATGCATTTACAAATATTAAGTACAAAATAGAGGGATTTACCTGCATCCTTAGACTGGCCTCTTGCTTTTCCTTCTCCAGTTCACTAAAGTCTGGTTTGTTGTTTCGCAGGACCTTTATTTCCTGCAAAATAAATTTTGCTATAAACATTCTATACTATCATAAATATTAATTAATTTGACAATTACAAGCCACTAATTTAAATAGGACATACATACATACATACATACGTACATAATATAATAATTATTTTGTAACAATCTTATTGTCAAAAAAAATATAATTCATCCTCCCTAAAATTCTAAATAAAGTGAAGAGATATATTGTATATAAATATTGTTTCATTTTGCTTTCAAGATGTTATTCATAGGCGAGGCAGTGGCGCAGTAGGTAGTGCTGTCGCCTCAAAGCAAGAAGGTCGCTGGTTCGAACTTCGACTCTGTTGGTGTTTATGTGTGGAGTTTGCATGTTCTCCCTGCCTTCGCGTGGGTTTTCTTCCAGGTGCTCCGGTTTCCCTCACAGTCCAAACACATGCGGTACAGGTGAATTGGGTAGGCTAAATTGTCCGTAGTGTATGAATGCGTGTGTGGATGTTTCCCAGAGATGGGTTGTGGCTGGAAGGGCGCTGCGTAAAAACTTGCTGGATAAGTTGGCGGTTCATTCCGCTGTGGCGACCCCGGATTAATAAAGGGACTAAGCCAACAAGAAAATGAATGAATGAATGAATGAATGATGTTATTCATTCTGAATTATGTCTTTTAAAATAATTTATTCATGTAATGATAAAATGTTTTTATTTTCAGCAAACATTAATTCAGTTGTCTGCTTTTAATGTATTTTTTTATTATTAAATGAATGCATTTTGTTGAGCATTGGACAAAAACTCTTACTTATACCTTTTTGACTAATAGTACACATTAGAAATAAAAGAGGACTTCAATTTGCAGCCAAGAAACCAAACAATAGGGTGCCGTTGATTGCATCAAATTATGCAAATGTAAAATTAATAATGCTCCTAAATGAAAATTGAGAATACATAAGAAGTTTAAAAGTGTATCCTGCTCTGTCAGTTATCATGATCTCATGAAGTAATCTTTACCTCATCTTTAGCTTTGATAAGAGCCTCCATCTCTGCTATAGACTGTGTGAGCTCCTCATTCCCCATCTCACTGAAAGCAGAAACCCCGCTCTGAGCCTCCAGCTCCGCAACCTGAAACATGAAACCAACATCTTACATCAATTTCAGCCCTCAATCTGTACAAAAGCGGAAAAACAATGGAGAATGTGCTGTGTCTAAGAAAAGGCTTAAACTCAAAAACTTTTTACAGCCTGAACTAACTTTGTCTAATCTGTTTATGAATCAGTCAGTAGCGCACATTTATTAATTTTGCCCAAATACTGTCATTGTGAGCCCTACTGAAGAACAAAAGTTTAGGGATGTTTCCTTTTACATGCACATGAACCTTAATGACAATCATGACCTTAAGTGTTTAATATGGAGTTAGCAGATACAACAAATCTTTGACAATTTTATATAGATCCACATTTGTGAGATCAGACACTTATTTAGGATGAAAAAAGACCTGCCTCTTAGTTTCTGCTCTAATTCATCCCAAAGGTGTTCAATCAACCAGGTTAAGGTCTACAGTCTGTGCAGGCCAGTAAAATTTCTCGTTTTTTTTAACTTGCGGCTCACTAAAACAGTCACGTATAGGCTGATTTATACTTTTCTACACCACACTGTGTGCTGTGTGTTGCAATAACACTTCTGAAATGCTAGCTGGCAGTAGCTTATGTTCCTCTGAGTCAAGTTTCTTTGTTGGTGCTACCTTAATGTACAAGTAGATAAAACTCGCTCATTTAGAGGCGGGAACCGGCGGAAGTGCAACAACTTTATTCATATGGTAAAAACAAAACAAAAATTTCCAACTGCAGCTCTTTCACAGGATGCAACACTTGTAAACACTCGCTCTAACGGGCTCGCAGCTCTCAGCACTCCCCACACTCATTACCGCTACCAAGCAGACAAATAACAGAGCTTGCAATACGCATCGTTGCGCTGTGTAGATAAAATTGTTGAGAGGTGCACGCCAGCCACGACGATGGGCCCACTGCACTTTTTAATTAAACCCAGTATTTGTGGCAGGTTGGTGACTTACTCAGCAATCAGGGCACAGGCAGAGCGAGTTTAGACAGATTCTTCTGCATTCATGAATTTTTGCCTCACTCCCATGCAATTTTTGTGTCTTACGTTTGGGTCTTACAGTACGTTTGGGTCTTACAGTACGTTTGGGTCTTACGTTTGGGTCTTACAGTACGTTTGGGTCTTACGTTTGGGTCTTACGTTTGGGTCTTACGTTTGGGTCTTACGTTTGGGTCTTACGTTTGGGTCTTACGTTTGAGTCTTACGTTTTGAGTCTTACGTTTTGAGTCTTACGTTTTGAGTCTTACGTTTGGGTCTTACGTTTGGGTCTTACGTTTGGGTCTTACGTTTGGGTCTTACGTTTGGGTCTTACGTTTGGGTCTTACGTTTGGGTCTTACGTTTGGGTCTTACGTTTGGGTCTTACGTTTGGGTCTTACGTTTGGGTCTTACGTTTGGGTCTTACGTTTGAGTCTTACGTTTGAGTCTTACGTTTGAGTCTTGCGTTTGAGTCTTGCGTTTGAGTCTTGCGTTTGAGTCTTACATTTATGTGCAACATTTGACCTTAGTGACTGAAACTGCAAAACTTGCACTGTGCTTGACCAGCCAAAACACAGCAATCCCATTATGATGCTTCCAGAGTGAATGGGCCTTTATAATGCATGTTTTTTGCCAAGTTATACACCAGTTTATTTGCCTTCATTTGCAGATCTCAAGTCAAGAAATTCAAACTGGAATCATGGCAAGATACCCTTTAGAGTCCACTTTGCAAGGTACTTGTAGTCAAATTGTTGTGACAACTGACTGGGTTTGCAGAAGAATCTTTGACCCTGTTTGCACCTAAAAATAATAAATAAAATAAAATAAATATTATATAAGGATGCTATAGCCTTCTGTAACTCAAAAGACCACAATATTTTTGATAGGGATTTATGGTCAGCTAAAGTTCTAAAGAACCTTTTAAAGGTAATCCCCTGTTTAAAGTATTTATTATAAAGCGCTAATTTAGAAAATACTGCAAATGTTTTTTGTTTTGCTGATTTTTGCAGCCTGTTTGAACTTCATATTATGTCATTTTTAATGTTGTATAATCTACTCACAGGCGTATTTTAATACAATAGTAAAATATATATATAATAATCCAATTTAAATGAAATGGTGGAAAATACAACAATTATGTACACACACACACACACACACACACACACACACACACACACACACACTTGAAGTCAGAATTATTAGCCCCGCTTTGATTTTTTTATTTTATTTTTTTTTAAATACTTCTAAAATGATGTTTAAAAGAGCAAAGAAATTTTTACAGTATGTCTGATAATGTTTTTTCTTCTGGAGAAAGTCTTTTGTTTTATTTCGACTAGAATAAAAGCAGTTTTTTAAATTTTTAAACACTATTTTAAGAACACAATTATTAGCCCTTTTAGGCTGATTTTTTTTCCGATCCGAATTTTTTCTACAGAACAAACCATCATTATACAATAACTTGCCTAATTAACCTAACATGTCTAGTTAACCTAATTAACCTAGTTAAGCCTTTAAATGTCACTTTAAGCTGTAGAGAAGTGTCTTAAAAATATATCTAGTTAAATATTATTTAATGTCATTATGGCAAAGATAAAATAAATCAGTTATTAGAGACAAGTTATTAAAACTACTATGATTAAAAAATGTGTTGAAAAAATCTTCTCCGTTAAACAGAAAACAATAAAAAAAATAAACAGGGGGGCTGATAATTCTGATTTCAACTGATTCTAATTCTAATTCCGACTGTGTGTGGTTGTGCATACAGTTTCTCACTATCCAGGCCAAAAGTAACAACATTCTTGCTTTTACTTTCCACACAGTCATAGTTTCTGTGATTTAGCATCTCTTCTTCAGAGGTCATTATAATGTACAGTCAACACTAAACTCGCACTCAGCCCTGAGGGAAAGTAAAGCAGGCCATCTCTGCACTCGGGTTTTTAGTGCTGTCACAATTCAGAGACATTTTTTTCTGTTTGTTAAGGAGAAACTTAGCGGCCTCATTTCCCCCATGATCATTTGTCTTCTGTTCCAGGCAATGAAGCCATATTGTCTTTTCCTATAAATATCCCTGTACATGCTCTCCGAGGACCTGAACTATATACGTCACCTGGTTGATGTCTGTTTCAGTAGACCTTCAAAGTATTGCAAATCATTTATGTATGATTATGTAAAAACATTGTAAACTGCCAAAGGGGAAATATTCAGTTTGCTCAAGTAACTGCTGAGATGAATTGTTAACACATGAGAACATTTAAATGTGGCTGTTGTCCTAATGTTGTCCTCAAAAAAGCAGCAGTGTGGAAAAAACTGAATAATTTGGAGCTCTTCCTCCATTTCTTAATCCTCTTGTGTACATTTAAAGGTACACTAAGCCAATTTCATACATGTTCTATAATTTTGCAATGTTGATACGTGAAGGCTCTAAAGCAAACATACGCATTCCCCAACCGGACCTCGTGACTCATCCCTTTTTAAAATCTCCACTATCATTATTAGACATGCCCTTAGACTCAACTCATTTTAAAGTCATCATATGATTGGTTTAAACATATGGAATTTCTGAGAGCCCAGTGTTCAGCAATTTTAACAAGCCCACACGGAAACAAAAAAGTCTGATCGAATAAAAAAAAAAAAAAAAAAAAAAACTTTACATCGATGACAATATCCAGTGGTAGAGTTTTATTAAATGCAGCATTCTTAACAATGTGAGAGTCATGACATCATATTTTTAAAAGGCGTTTAAGAGATTGTTTGAGGCACTTAAATGAAACCTAAAAGTGATATCTTTATCAGCAATGGCAAAGAAAAGGAGATAAGGGCATGGGGCACTTGAACCACATGACGTACATACTATTCATGTGGTGCGTTGAGGTTAACGCTTGTGGGAGGGCATATCTGAAGCTTCGTGCTGATCACTTTCTGCCTATACACAGCATATTTACCAACCACCTCCTTCCAGGCTTATTCCCCTCAGGTAACATTTATATAAAGACTATAAAGCACTGGGTGATTACCAACCATGAATAAGCAGGGTTCCCACTCTAAGTCAGACATGAAATTCCAAGACTTTTTCTTGATTTTCACTGGCTAAAAGCTGAATTTCCATGACTCACCCACTTTATTATTGATATAATGAGATATTTCGCCTTTGTAACTTCATGTGCTCTACTTTAACCATCTAGGTGCAAAGAGTAAAGCGCATTGTGCAAAAGCATTAAGGGCATGTGTAAATCTACTTTTGCTATTTTAAGGTTAAAAAAAAATATGCTCTGTGCCACGGTGCATGGTCTAACAGGGTTGAGCTTCTTCTCTTAATGAGTTATGAGTCTGTTTTGAGCATAATGTGCAATAAACCAATTAGAGTCTCATCTCCCATTCCCTTTAAGAGGCAGTTGCATTCATGGCACTTTTCCGTTTAAAATTGTAAAAACTGAACGCTTCACTAGCGGGAAAACAGTTTAACAGACCATCTGCAGCGAGGCGATAAAGAACAAACCTCCTCCATTCGGCTTCTTTACTTTCACATTTGACTTTAATCCTTTACTCTCGTGCATAAGGAAACGATGGGAACTCACTCCACTGAAGACATCCATCAGCCTACATATTTAATTTCCTTAAGCACAAAGATTTGTTTCAAAACTATTTCTAATTTCTAGCATACGAATAAATGAATAATAATAATGAAGAAACACATTTTTATGCCCCATATGGTGATGCATATGTCTTCAAAACCCGAAACGTGGAGAAATCTAAAATTGGTTTTATTAAAACTAATATAAATATGCATTTACTAAATAATACTGATAATAATAACATTATAAAAATGCTAATTGTCATGAATAAACTAAAAAAAGCCCCCCGAGGTGGTAAAGAGCATGGAGGTAGTGGTGTTCATAATTATGTAGAAAATAATAATTTTTGTAACATTTTAATCCTTAACTTTTTTTCTTATTTGTGTATTGCTGTACATCCTATGTGTATTAAACAGTGTTTATCCATTTGGACTTTAGGCCTGCTTTTAGTTGGTTAATTACGCAGTCTATTTAGGTTGCTCAAAATAGCAACGCGCCAACAATGTGCCTCAACACCCCGTTTTTACACCAACACACCCATGAGTCCACAAAGTGGCGCAAATGGATTTGCTATTTAAACAATGTGGCACAATACGTGAAAAATACTGTTGAGCTGGTCTAAAAACAGTAACAAATCGTGTCTTATTGCGCAGAGTGTATGATAGAGCCCAATGTGTCAAGACATCCAGTCTCATTCACTTCCATAAATTTTTAGGGTCCATTCACATTTAAAAGTGTGTGGAAAGCATGAGCGCTTTACTTCCTTCTCCATTATCAATGCGAGAAATTGCTGCAGCTCTGATACCAGTTTTATTTATGAAGAAAATTACTGCACTGCAGTGTTTGAGTTTTCTGTGTTTGCCTGAAATAATTAGTCTACCGAAACGTGTATATTCCATACAAACTATGAAGCTGATTGTCAGCTCTTGTCATGTGACTCGCAGTGCACTCGTGGATTTCTGAAAAGTTGAGATGTTTTCAACGTGGTGTGCCTGGAAAGTGCGAGCTCGTTTTGCCGCTTATACGCTGTTCCCAATATGCGCGTGCAAGCCACACACCTCCATTGAAAATAACAAATTTGCTCATTCAAAAGACAATATGTAAACGGCCCCTTAGCTGTAAATACAACTTAATACTGCTTAATGATGTAAAAATCATATATTTTATTTTTTGTCATCAAATAAATATATATTATTGCTGGTTGACAAGTGGTTAAGCTATACAATGGCATAAAAAAGACCAATGAGAACAATAGTTACGTTTTCATCCAAATATGCAAATAAAATTTAATAAAATTAAAAACTAGATAAAAGATCTAGATCTCATGAAAGATTTGTGTATAATGCAGCCTTTCCACCCAAAGATAGTCAAAAAAACAAAACCATCAATACTTGATAAACTGGTGCCAAATATTAAAAAGAAAAGCAGATTTTGTCCCACTAGGAGAAGCTGCGCAAGTCTTTTTCTTACATAATTGACTTATGCCTCAGAAGACATGCTGACAAACAAAGAACGTGTGGTGGCGTTTGGAGGTGTAAGAGGCTCCTTGGGCGCACAGACGCTCAAGTTTTGGAGGTATTATAACAATAATACCACTGTGAACTACTGTGATGACTTGTTAAGGTTTGTGATGATAGGTTAAGGTATATAATGTAAGTGGATTGGTGTATATAAAATTCCCTGAAAAAGTTTTTCTCCATTTTGAAGGCTTTTTCCAAAATGGTGTTATTCTCCGGTGTTGCATATGTGTGATTGGTTAGTGTCTGTTATACATTTGCATAAAGTAATCTGATTGGCTGAAGCCTGCATTGGTGCTTGAAAAGTTGAAAGTTTTTAAACTTCTGCCATGAGCAAGAGACACAAAGCAAAACAACAGACACACAACTGAGTTTCAGCAATGCTTGACATCACTTCATTCAACATGAATAAGAAGCATTAATGTCAATGCTCCATATAAATAAGGCATTATAGTTGTGGCTACAATTTTTAGAACAGATGTATATGTAACTGCTTCAGCCTTTTCATTGAACTCATTACAACACCCATAAAATAATAAAAATATTTACAAAGTCATAATTAAGCACTGTAAAATCCCTGAATAGAGCCACCAAAAGGAAATTTAATTCACTGCCAATGACAAACAATCATGTTCCCCAAAAGTCAAAGGAAATTCTTTGGTTTCAGTAACAAAAGGCATTAAAAGTACATAGAGTACTTTAATGATGAAGTTCTCAGAAAAAAAAAAAAAAAAAAAAACACTATGCCAAAGATAAGTGCAAAAAGTAAAAATACCAAATATTAAAGTTAAAAGTGGATTAAAAACAGTATGACTCACTTCATCTGATATTTCTTGTGCTGAGAGCAGCCATCTGCATGTTTCATGAGCTAATCATTTGGTTCCCATTGTAAATGTCAATTCTGGGTGATCTATCCAATAAACCAGGGGTCTTCACCCCAAAATGGCAGAGGGCCATTTCAGTGATTGATAATCCATAGGAGGGCCGTTTTAACATTCAAGCACAAGAAAAAAAAGCGGAAAAAAAAGCGGAAAAAAAGCGGAAACCTGACGTAATTGATGCATCTTAGGATAACAGACATGACGTTTATATTTCAAGCATTACCTGTTACCAGTGATGATGCAAATAAGCACGTTTATTGTTCCATGACTTTTCCAAGACTTTCCAGAACTTTCAAGTACATTTTTATGACGTAATGTTTCATGTAATGTCTACTTACACATGGTAAATAATAAGAAAAACAATAACGTTCACATTTATTACAGCACATCATAGAGCACGCAACAATCTATTTTGTTTACATTTTTATTAAATCTTTGTAAAATTCATTTTGATAATGCTTACATCGCACTAACAATGTGAGAGCAAGTTTTTGGCCAAGGACAGAAAATAAGTAAATACAACCAATGTATATTGAAGTTAGGGCTTCACACAATATATATTGCAGAAATTAAAAATATGGTAATGTCAGATTTATCCAATATCATGCAGCCCTAATTCAAGTACACAGATATTTGTTAAAATAATTTCCATGAATTTTCCAAAACTTACTAAATTTTTTCAGGCCTGGAAAATGCCATGTCATAATTCCATGACTTTTCCAGGTATTCATGACAGTTTGAACCCTGTGCCCCACATAAGCAGCTGAAATATATCTGTGGTTGTAGTGTGTAGGTCGAGCATTGGACACATAGTCATACTTCCACAGACTACATGCAGTCGAAATTCAAGCTTTTTGTTTCTTATTGTACATATTGAAAGGAGAGTTTAAATTGCTAGGAAAATATAACAAATAAAAGGCAAAATAATTATTATTCTGTCCCAAACAATTGTACAAACGTAAGAACAGCAGAAAGCCAGATCGCAGTTTGGGTAACTTAAGTGACTTTACTGGCAATTGTTCTACTCAATATCTTTCTTTTTTTGCAAAACTAAAACAAGGGGGGGGGGGGGGTTTCATATTTCAGGTTTCATATTTGTTACACCACCAGCATAACATGTAAGCCATATAGAAGTGTTTGCACAACAAAATACAAGTGGTAAAAACTGATAATAATTACTACGAATAAAGCACTTACGGACATATATTTAAACATTTAAATCACATGTGTGTTAATCTCGACCGTACAATGAGAGAAAATGAAAGTAAAACTAATCCGAATGCAGTACTATAAATGTCGACTAGGAGCAATTATTGTTCCTTACCTGCTCTCGGAGGCGTTCTGTTTCTTCTTGATACTCGGCTAATTGTTTTTTCCATTGTTCAATGCTGCTGTTAGCATCATGAAGAGCTGCTACCAGCTTAGTGTTGCTGTCTCGAAGAGAAAACAGCTCGGCCTCTGAGTTTACCTCACAAATTGACCTGTGGAAAAAAAAAATAATAATAAAACAGCATCTGGGTTTCAGTTATACTCAGATTTTTCCTTCTGGAAGCTGAGTCAAAGACAAATTTCCTGAAAGTGTTTTAGTCCAAAGACAGCAGATGGCAAACTCTGCACACATGGCTGAGTTTTAAAATGTCATTTCTTTTGTGTTACCTTTACATTTTATGAACAGATTGTGCAAGAGATTACTCATGTTCCCTGTTAGATCTGAAATTTGAACACATTTTAATTGTAACAGCAAGTCTTGTTTAACAACGACAGGTAAGCCATTTGCTGGTTGACTTTCTGAACAATGTGATTTTGAGATGCCATAAACATTTACCATATTGAATGTTGTGATTATTTGGTGAAGTATGTTATGCTTGAGTCCATAAAATGTTTGACGTTAAACTCGATTACCCTAGAAAACTACTGAGGAGGAAGAGTACGTCAAGCGGATTGAGAAACCACACGTGCATCTGTGTAAGACAGTGTGGCTCTGTATCAAGGGAAAACAAACGTGAAGCGACTATACTCTATCTATACTCTATTTACAAAATAGGAGTCAAATCTCCAAATATCAAAGAACTATTTTGAACAGTTTTCCCCAATTAATATTTTAACTAGATAATATGAAAAGACATTAAAAAATTATACATAAAATCAGTAAAATGTTAATTATTTTACCAAAAATAAAGTGTTGATACAAAATGCATCTTTTTTTTTTGTATTTAGTACTGACCTGAATGAGATAATTTAAATAAAATATGCTTACATATAGACATGATCTACAAAAGAAATTTGTTTTAGTTCAATTTATGAAGATTAAAGCTGGGCCTCACAAAGGCCTTTTATTGAACTAAGGTAACATGGATTCAATCTGAAAACATTTCTAGGAGTTTGTTATAGTGTAAAACATTACATTTTCAGTTGCCAGCAGGTGCTGCTATGACTGGAACTGGATTTTGTTCAGGTCATCATTGATCTTCTGGATTTTGAGGCAGATCAGACTATGCATGCCTGAGTTAAAACAATTTCCTGTTTTGTGGTAAAACATTAAAGTTTGAGAGGTCACCATGGATACGCCCTTCGACAAAAACTCTAAATCTTTGCAATTTAACATTCCCAAGGCCTTTAGATCAGTGTTTCTCAACCACCTTCCTGAAGGACCACCAGCTCTGCACATTCTCTCCCTAAGCAAACACATCTGATTCAGATCATGAGCTCATTGGCAGAGACTGAAAGACCTGTAATGGGCGTGACAGACAAAGGAGACATACAAAACATGCAGTGTTAATGGTCCTCCAGAAAAGTGGTTGAGAAACACTGCTTTAGATGACAATACACAAATTTGGTATTAATTTTTTTAAATCCCTTAGGAGGAGTTTGTTAAAAGTACAACGCCTGAAAATGGTGAAAAGGAAGAAAGAGAAGTTAAAAATATTCAACTTCCTGCTCAGTTTCAAATTTTCCTCCAAGAAAAATGTTTGCAGGTTTTGGCATTTTTAATGTGTGTGGCAATTTTTGTACACACTCATGAAACAAAGCTTAGGGCCACTCTGCTGTCGCTGTCGAGCCATTTTGCTACACCCACTTCAGAAACCCATAACAAACATACATTTTCACAATTTCTGGCATATGTGCAAAGTTTTGTTAGATTTTGAGCATGTTTAGACCCTCAAAAATGCTATTAATTCTAGAGATGAAGATGAAGATTAAGAAGAAAAAGAGCAATTTCAATAGGGCCTATGCACCGTTGGTGCTCAGTCCCTAAAAATACCCACTTTATAGATTTACATACACTGATGCTAAATACTGTGTTGTTTTATTTAGTTGCTCAGAATGCAGTGCTCATTCATTGTCCTGAACCATTAACGGTTCTACAAAATATACCTCAAGTCCCCGAAATTATTTGCTTTTTTTTTCTCCACATCAGTGTATTTGAACCCTTTCCAAAAAAACTATGATTATGAGTTCCATATTTTCACACTAACAGACTCTTTTTACACTGAGCAACTCTTACAGAAGGTTCAAACAAGGACTGAAGCTCCAGAGGGAAAAATGCATTAAAAAGGTTTTTGAATTTAGATATGAGGGTAAATTTAACTTAATAAAATTTTAAATTTAAATTTTGTCTTTTAAAACATGCAAGAATCTTCTGTAGCATATGAAAGGGTGTACTAAGTATATCATCTAATCTTGCAGCCCTCCCAGGTCGTATTATTTAAAGGAAAAGTCTGCTTTTTTTGAAAAAGGCTCATCGTGCAAGCCTCTTACAGTTAAACAGTTGACTAGAACCAATACCATTATCACCCTGTAGCCCAAGACCGGTTACTCACTGAAGATAAGCAGCACTGAGCCTGCTTAGTACCTGAATGGGAGCCCACATGAGAATACAAGGTTGCTGTTGGAAATCATGTTAGTGAGGCCAGCAGGGGGCACTTAATCTGTAGTCTGTGTGAGTCCTAATGCTCCAGTATAGTGAAAAGGACCCAATACTGTTAGAGAGCATCATCTTTCGGATGAGACGTTAAACCTAAATCCGGACTCTTTTTGGTCATTAAAAATCCCATGGCACTTCTCGAAAAAACTAGGGGTGTATCCCTAGTGTCCTGACCAAATTCCCTCCACCTGCCCTTACCTATCATGGCCTCCTAATCATCCCCATCCGCCAAACTGGCTTTATCACTGTTTCTCCTCTCGCCCAATAGCTGGTGTGTGGTGAACGCCATGGCGCCATTGTCCTGTGGCTGCCGCTGCATCATCCAAGTGAATGCTGCACACTGGTGGGATTGAGGACGCCACTCTCTTATGATTGTGAAGCGCTTTGGGTGTATGGCCATACACGATAAATGCGCTATATAAATACACATACTTACTAACCATTTTAAATCCAGTCAGCTGATTGATTGTTCTTAGAAATATCAGCCTAGAAAATAATAATTTTTCATTTCACCTCGTTATTTTTAAACAACGTAACTACAGAAGACTCGAGCTTTAAATAGGAAAATGATCAAAATTCTTTTTAAAATGTGTTGAGCTAAATGCTATTGGACAAATCCGGTTTAATTAATTATGCCAAGCTAAAAGTGAACCCCCCAGAACAAAAAGTAGGCTCAATGGATAAAAAATTCTCTTGGAGAATTGTGAAATGAATGTTCATTTAAGATAATTGTGGAGTTGATAAGATATATTTAAAGGGGCTGTACGATGCAGTTTCATGTTTTCTGTCTTTTAAGTGTTACAAGCTGTTTGTGTTTAACATCAGCATCAAGTGTGACAAGGCTCTTTTTAAAACTGCAGGTACTATCGTTCTGGGAATTTTCTGGAATGACTAGTTATAACATTACCAGTAAATCCTTAAAATTCAGCTGTCTGAACATAGAAGAAAGATTGCTGTTATGAGCACGTACAGGTTCAGTATGTATTAACGTGAAACCAAATCATTTTGCTGGCTTACAGAACAGCCTCTGATTCTGCACCCATTTACCTCCACCTGCTTTTGCAAGTCCACGCCCTCCAGAAACCTCCAGTTGGTGAGCGTGGACTTACTGTACCATCACAGAGAAGCTCTAAATCACTTTCTAAAACCTTACCATTCACTGTTACTGGCTGGTGAAATGATCTTTCAATTCATATGCTGACTGCTTATTCACTAGTATTATTCAAGTGACAGCTAAAAGCTATTTCTTTGCGAACACTTGAGCACTTCATTTAAAAAACCCCCTCCTTACGCTATGACTTATTTCTCTGAACCTGAACAAATCCTTTGTATAAGTAGCACTTACACAATCTTCATTTACAAGTTTCTTTGGACCAAAGCATTTGTTAAATTAGTGTTCTCCAACATCTGGGCAATACCAGCAGTCAAGGGCGCAGGTTTGCTCCTGACATTGGTAAGGTAAAAACTTGAGTTTATGTGACTTAAAGTTTCTTTGAAAAAAGCTCCTTGTGTACACTTTTTGTTATTTGCTGCAACCATTTTCAGTGGCACGTGTCACCCACCTCACACACCGTATCATTGTACTGGAAAATTCCCCCGAAGTTGTGACGCTGCTTGTATCTGAACGCAGCAACAGCCTATCACAGGACAGCAGAGAAAGGCACAGCCAACCACAATGTTCATATGTGTTTCGGGGCATTAATACTCAAAGAGAGATCTTGGTTTAACCCTTTCTGCATATCTAGATTAATGTTAATTTTTTTTAAGTTAATAAAATTATTGGTGGGGTAATAGTTGGTGAATATTGGTGGAGACCCAATGTCCATGTAAACTCTTTCTCCTGCAGGCAGTACTACATTTAAAAAAAGGAGAGAGATTAAAGGGTTAATTCACCCAAAACTGATGAAAATAATAACACACTCTCAATTAGTTCCAAACCATTAAGAACTTAGTTTAGTATAACTTAGAACTTAGCTCCCTCACCCTCCATAGACATCAAGGTATTCAAAGTCCAGAAAAGTACCAAAAAACTCCCTCAAAACAGACCATATGCATGCAGTGACCCAAACAGAACATAATTAAGCAATTATTTTGTGTGCATAAGAGACAAAAAACAACTTTTACTCAACTTCTTCCCTTCTGTGTCAGTATATTGTGCACATTCACAAGCACTGTGAAGTGACTTATGCCTCTTTTTTGGGTTAACTAACACTAGGACAAAATAAAAAAAATTAACATATTTATTCTCATCCCTTTTTTTTTTTTTTTTTTTAATTTAACATTTGGCTCATTCTGTGATGTGTACAGTATGTAAACTCTTGACTTCAACTGTAAAAAACAAAAATCAATGTACCATGTAGATATGAATGTTTTACCCTTCAGATAGCATCTTTCTCATCTGTTCTTTTTCCGTGGTCTGCTCCATATCAGCGCTTTTACTGCGGAACAGCTTATCCTCACTAGAGCCATTGACACCAAGCAGCGGTGGAGACTGGCGATCCACAGATAGTGCCTGGAAAAATACAGAAAGAGACAATACAATGGCATAAAAATTCAAATAAATAACCTGTTTGAAATTTCTTGTCAATGTGTGTGAGCGTGTGTATTATGAATTTATTGCCATATCAGCTTCTCTAGCTATTTCACAGCAAAACCAGATCAGATTTTTATAAATATCACTTTTCTATAATAATTTTAAAAATACATCAACAATGCTATATATTGATAACACAAATAATAATAATAATAATAATAATAATACAAGAAAGTTTACTTTTGATACAAATTTGACCATTTTTGAAAAATTCATGTTTAAAAATATTACCTTTACAGAGTTTCTGGAACAAAATATTCCAAGTTTGTTCAAATACATTAGACATTCTGATTGAACCAGTTACTAGTAATTAATAATTATATTTGTAGTTTTCAAAGAAAGTTCAACAACAGTTTCATATGGGTTGATCTATGCCAAAAAAAAAAAAAAAAAAAAAACGTATCATTTTGTTTTGGAAGAAAAGTTAAGTTCCAACTCTTAAATTATGGCTGACAAAGTTACGAGTATATTACATCTAGAAGAAGAAAAAAAAAGGTATATTCTACTTATAGACAAGATTTTGTTATTTGAAAAAATGTAGTCCACTTTCATTTCCTTTCTACAAACATTTATGTGATTATGCCTTTAATACCTACTTTTACCACTGAATAGCACTGGTGGGTGTTTGGTTGGGGGAAAGTGTGTTTAATTTTTTGTTCCATTTTAATTGCTATGACTGTTTTTCATTTTCTCTCTCTTTTTTAATGTCTAATTGTTAAAATGTAAGTTTTATGTCTGTATTTAAAAAATATATATATTTTCAAGCGAATGTCAGCTAAAATTTCTAATAAATAAAATAATTAATGTGCAGTAGGTGATTGTTCTCTGAAACATTTTTTTTGTGCTGGTTAAAAGTCTCTTCACATTCCAATAGTAATTAGGCAGAGCAAGGCATAAGACAAAAAAATGTTAATCCAAATAAAAATCGTCAGGCCAATGACTCCTATAATTCTGATAAGTAGCCCAAACTGTCTGTTACAAATGAAGATTTGTTCATCTGCGCAGCCTTTCATGCAGATCCGCAGTTTGCATGTGGACGCACGCCGCGTTGATGACGTGCACAAGAAAGAGAGAGAGGGATTGTCAGCGATAAAAACAAATGCAAAATCAAAGCTTTTTAAATTCCTGAACCAATATTGGAGTTACTTTTGCACGCTGGGGGAAGGACAACACCATGGCTGAAGTATTTGTTTTAGACAGGTAATGGTATTAAACATTAGTAATTGTGTTATTATGTTATTTATAGTTTTAAAACTTAAACTGTTTTAGTCACGCAAAGCTGATGTAGATTGTGTTGTTACAAATGGGTTATATGCACAGAAGTGTTGTTCAGTCACTGAAATCTTCCAACGAAAGACTGATATGACTATTTTAAGTTTTATAAGGTTCCTTTTATAGCATATATTGCAGATTTTTATTTAGTCTAACAACGAAATGTCAATCAATAGTGATATTCTACCTAGCCTGCTTTACTGAGATGAAGTTGGTTTTATATTCATATTCGGTCTGAAATAGCATGCAAGTATGGCATGTAAGTATGGCAGGGAAGTAAAGTTATTCTGCTAATGTATAGAATTATGGCAGATCACCTACTGCACTTTTAAACCACAAAATTATTTCCAAGTCTCTCCATATAAAAAATCGTTGTCAGATCACAAAAATAAGGCATTGCAAAAGTACACATTTAACACTTTGGTTACTGTTGCAATATTGACATTTTGGTGGAACGTCTCTTTTTAGCAAATGTCTCATGTGTCCGATACAGCATCTTGTATAAACAATCTCATAATAAAAATTGTTTGACTTTCCTCCGACTACTGGCTGCATTTCAAAAAGCTGATTTTCTAAGCACTGATACTATTCTGCTGCTAATGTGAGCTTTTCAGGATCAGTAAACTATTCTGAAATGTTTTGAAATATATATTGGTGTGTTTCTAAGCACATAAAGATAACTGAAAAACGAAACCATCAGATTTTCTCTCAACATTCACTTAAAAAAAATGTTTTTTTACATTTTATTTTGTTTAACTTACAATAAAATTAGTTTACAAAGGTCCCTGCAAACTTCCAGATATCTAATGATTAGGGATACATCGATGTTTCAGCCTCCAATATGTATCAGCCCATATCTATGACTTGCTTGCCTTCATTTTAAAGCTATTTATCAACAATAATATGAAAAAGGCTGATACAGATAGTTAATAATTACATGGAGGCAATGAGTTGCAGGTATATGGAATAATCCAACATTTGTCTCAGAGTAAAATCTAAATAAAATAATCAAAGAACTAAATATCAGTTGTTCTCCAGGAAGGCAGCTAGTGTGCAACATGCTCAACTCACTCACATTTGAGAGAATATTCTTCTCTGGAGCAGCAAAATGTTTAATTTACATATAGCACCAGCATTTACTATTCAATGTTCAATCATATTTTAATGAATGACGGTGCTGCTTAAAAGTCCAAAGGCCATCAAGATTCAGTTTATGCACAGTAGACATCAAAATCTGTGCCAAAATGCCCTAATACTTTAATGTCATGATGTCCTTCAAACAGTTAAGATTTCTACTTCCTGCAAGAGCCAAACTAACTTGTAGCTATGTGTTATTGATGTGGATATTTGCTATTTTCTTTTTTAGGGCCAGACATCACATTTTTGTTCACTCAAAATAGTGTATAGAAATAATGACATGATGATTTTTGATAGAAAATAAAAAAATATAAAAATGTAAATAAACAAGGTAAGTATATATTGTTTGAGCAAGTTAAATCATAAAAATAAAATACAACAAATAAAACAATGTCAAAAACAGTTCCATTTTAAGAATGCTAAACTGAATAATCTGAATACACTCAATAAACTGAATACACATATTTAATATTTCTCTTCTCAGTAATAAAATAAAATGTTGTAAAATAAACTATTTCTAATTTGTTCTAGTGACCTAGTCAGTGAGCACGGTTACACCAAGCATCTCTAAAACAAGACTGGCCAACCTCTATGTCTGGCTATTGGGAATGGCGTTCTTCTGCTCCTAAGTATCCAGATCACTGGTTTCAAAAAGCATCAATTTGGTCATATTAATCCTTAAAACATTCTTCTAGAAATTTTTTGGTTTTACCAATTAATTTTCGTGTATCCAACTGTATTTAATTGATCTTCATGGTCCAGAGAATTGTTTCCTGAGATAAAGGCCATGTTCGTTTATTGCTGTTCTCATAAAAATCATTAAAAATTCTTTCCGCCTCTTATCAGGCAATATTAAAAAGTCTTCAGTAGTAAATTCAAGGTTTTTCACCATTGTTTTGATCAAACATTGTATTTCCCTTGATGGTTTTGTGATGATATTTTTTTTCCACCATCCTAAAAGGTTTTCTGGCGAAACCAATTTCAGGCATATTTACGTTTTTTCTTTTAGTATCCAAGATCCACAGACATTCAACATTCTTCTTTGAAGATTTTGTCAGATTTTAATTTGGCAACATCTGCTACCCAGAATTAATAAACGCACAGGCTACATTTATTTTTGAATACTGTAGCAATTCAGCCTTAAAGGCACAGTATTCACAGTATATCATTTTGCCAAAGTATGTTACTGAGCATTTTCAAAACATACCAAGGTGTGGAATCATAGCAGTTGTCATTTCATTATACAGTACATCCTGCAGAAAGCATGTTTGTGGATGAGTTGAAGTATTGAACACTTATTATGGTAGTATGAAGCTGAGTAAAGGTTTTTTCACACTGAATCTGAACTTTTCGTCCATATTATTGCACGTAAAAATTTATTTGACCTAATGTTGTCAATCGCATTGACATACTGTCACCAAAACATTCAACCTAACAATGTGTCAATCGTATTGACATACCGTCTCCAAAACTTTTGTGCATCATGAAAAAATTAGAACTGGGTTTGATTTTTTTTGTTTCAGTTTTTCGCATCTGAACATGCACTTTGATTGGTGTTTTTACAATTCAGCACCACTATACAAGTGAAATACAGAATGCAGTTATTTGAGCCACAGATAACTTTATGACAAATACAGTTCATAAAATAAAGACAAATTGTGGCGGACAGATGAGTCTGTGCATTGGTCCTGCGGGCCAGCCTATACACCCTATACAGACCTACTCACACCTGCAGTTTCTCCACGATGGACGTCCAGCATTCTCCAGCCTCTGCAGCTCTACACAAAAAGTTTGGCCAGAGGAAAATAGTCATGCCCACATCTGCCTAGTTTTCTCTCTAGTTTTTTCCTTCACTTTTGTCAATGGGCGAAGTGTCTTCGTCTCCACTGGCTTACTAGGTTTGGGACTTGTGGTGCTGCGCATCAGTGGATTTGCTCTTCAGTGTTTTGACTTTCAGCAGTGAAAATTAAACTTCACTGAGCTGAACTAAACTGAACTGAACTTCAACTAAAAACTAGACTGACACAGTTCCAATTTACTAAAACTTCTATGTTAAGCTGCTTTGACACAATCTACATTGAGAGCTGGAGAAATAAAAAGAGCTAGCCGCCTCATGGTCTGCTTCGGTCTGTTTTTCAGATAGGTCAATGTGGCCACCATCTAATGTCTACAGCCAGTCTCTGTTCAGGATTTGTTTACGTACGTAATATGTGAAGTATTACAAACAATGAATCAAAATTCCACTAATATCCTGAAATAAACTTTGAATTTCGGGATAATCCAGTGCAGCTCTTTAATCATGAGCAGAACCCCTTCCTCTCTATGTAGTATCGGATGAACACAATATGTAGCCAATTCCTCTTTCTACTTTGGAGAAGAGTGTAGAACAAAGTAAAACTGCTAAAATTGACTCAGAAATGTCTTATTAATAAATATTTAATTTTATTAATAAATTAGATTAATAAATACTCATCGGACTCAGTGTGCAAGGATTGTATACAGGTTGAATT